TCTAATGTTGACTCTTCTAGATATGACTTAAATTCATCTTATTGCTCTAAGTGAGATAGAAAGAGATGAAATTTCTTGAAAAAAGGATGGCTACTTTTTTAGAATTGATATTTTTATTTGACATCTGTCAAATCAAGCCAACATTTGTTTTCACTCATCCCAAGTTACTAAAAACTATTGTTTCATACTGACTATCATTTTGGAATGCAAAACCATCGATCTTTATGGAAAAATTACAATAAAGCATGTTTAGTCACCCTTCCCCATGACTCAACTCTATCCATCTTGGGGGGGGGGAAAACTCCAGTAAAAAATATCTAGGTCATTATCAAGAAAAATGTTTCTTCAAAGCTCTGTTGATTGCCAAAAAAATTATTGCTGTGAAAAGAGAAATTTTCAACTACTTCTAAAATAATTGATTGGACATATGTTATATGTGACCTAATGGCACTAAAAAGAATTTCATTTAATCAACAAAATAGATTTTTCACATAAAAATTGGCCTCCTATAATGACATACAATAATCACCGATTTTATAGTTGACTCCAATATTAAAGAAGCCCTTCTGAAAGCAATAGGCTTTTAAGTAGTCTCTTGCTCTCTCTTTTTTAACATCACCAGATTCACCTGCTGACCAAACTAAATTGTCTTGGTCAGTTACAGTGTGGTCTGGATGGGAAGAAGGTCCCCAGGTCAGGGAAGCTTTCAGAGCATGTCTGTTCCCCAAAGCTCTACTGGTTTAGTGACATGCATCTGCTTGGTGCTGACAGCCCAGGATTAAGACAGTGTGAAACTTGAACAAAAAGGTAACTACATGCAAATATTTGGAAGATAATTTTTTAAAGAGTAGATTGAGATTTAGGAAAATTTGGCTACCATCAGAGCAGGTCATTTTTTTGGATGTTTTTTAAAATTGAAGTACAGTTGATACACAATATTATATTGGTTTCAGGTATACAACACAGGAGTACAATGGATACCCATGTTATTAAATCCTTACCCCCACTAGTGCAGTTACTCTCAGCACAGAAAGACATTACTGCGTCACTGGCTATTTTCTCCATGCTGCCTTACCATCCCTATGATCAACTCATATTATGATCTAGAATTTTGTGTCCCCTTATCCCCCTCATCCTTCCCACCCACTCTTCCAGGCCCCTCCCCCATGGTAACCTCCAGTCACTTCTCACTGTCTATGAGTCTACTGATATTTTGTTCATTTTATTTCATTTTGTCTTTAGATTCCACAAGTAAATGAAATCACATGATATTTGTCTTTCTCCACCTGGCTTATTTCACTTAACCTAATACCCTCTAGGTCCATTCATATTGTTGCAAATGGCAGGATCTCTTTCTTCTCATTGTTGAATAATATTCCATTATGTATATGCACATCTTTACCCATTCATGTATTAACCGACACTTTGGTTGCTTCCATATCTTGGCTATTATAAAATAATGTAGCAATAAATATATATAGGTTGCATATGTCTTTTCAAATTAGAGATTTTGTTTTCTTTAGGTAAATCCTAGAAGTGGAATTACTAAGTTATAAGGTATTTCTCTTTTAGGTTTTTTGAGGAACCTCCATACTGCTTTCCATAGTGGCTGCACCAATTTATGATCCCAAACGGTGTAGGAGGTTTCCTGTTTCTCCACATCCTCCCCAAATACTTGTTTTTTCTTGTCTTTTGTATAGTGGCCATTCTGACTGGTGCAGGGTGATATCTCATTGCGGTTTTGATTTGCATTTCCCTGATGATCAGCGATGCGGAGCATCTTTTCATATGCTCATTGGCCGTCTGTATTTCTTCTTTGGAAAAATATCTGTTCAGGTCCTCTACCCATTTTTTAATTCGTTTTTTGTTTTTTTGGTGGTGAGGTGTATGAGCTCTTTATATATTTTGGTTGTTAACCCTTTATTGAATAAATTGTTCACAAACATATTCTCCCATACTGTGGGTTGTCTTTTTGTTCTGTTGATAGTGTCCTTTTCTGTACAGAAGCTCTCTAGTTTGATGTAGTCCCACATGTTCATTTTTTATTTTGTTTCCCTTGCCTGGGGAGATGTGTCCAGAAAAAATTGTTTATGCTAATAATGTTCAAGAGATTTTTGCCTATGTTTTCTTCTAAGAGTTTGATGGTTTCATGTCTTACATTTAGTTCTTTAATCCATTTTAAATTTACTTTTGTATATGGAGTTAGACAGTAATCCAATTTCCTCTCCTTTCATGTAGCTGTTCAGTTATCCCAATACCAGTTATTGAAGAGACCGTAGAGACTGTGTTTTCCCCATTTAATATTCATGGCTCCTTTTTCATATACTAATTGACCATGTATGCATGGTGTTTGTATCTGGACTCTCTATTCTATTCCATTGATCTATGGGTCTGTTTTTGTGCCAGTACCATACTACTGATTGCTGTAATGTTGTAGTATAGCTTGAAGTTAGGTAGTGTAACATGCCCAGTTTTGTTCTTCTTTCTCAGGATTGCTTTAGCTCTTTGGGGTCTTTGGTGGTTCCACATGAATTTTAGGATTATATTCTTTAGTTCATTGAAAAATGCTGTTGGTATTTTGATAAGGATTGCATTGCATTTGTAAATTGCTTTGGGCAGGATGACCATTTTGACAATATTAATGCTTCCTATTCATGAGCATGGGATATATTTCTGTTTACTTGTCTTCTTTAAGTTCTCTCATGAGTGTCTCATAATTTTCTGAGTGAAAATCTTTCACTTCCTTGGTTAGGCTTATTCCTAAGTATTTTATTCTTTCTGATGCAATTATAAATGGAGTTGTTTTCCTGATTTCTCTTTCTGTTAGTTCATTATTAGTATATATATATATATATATATATATATATGTAGGAATGCAAAAGATTTCTGTTTATTAATTTTGTATCTTGCAACTTTGCTGAATTCAGTTATTAGTTCTAATAGTTTTTTGGTGGAGTATCTAGGGTTTTCTACATATATAATCATGTCATCTGCAAATTCTTCCTTACCAATTTGGATGCCTTTTATCTCTTTATCTTTTCTGATTGCTGTGGCTACAACTTACAGTACTATGTTGAATAAAAGTGGTGAGAGTGGACATCCTTGTCTTATTCCTGATCTTACAGGGAAAGATCAGAAATTTTTTGTCACTTTTTCCCATTGACTATGATATTAGCTGTGGGTTGTAGTATATGGCTTTTTTTATGTTGAGGTATGTTCCCTCTATACCCATTTTCTTGAGATTTTTTACCATGAATGGATGCCGAATTTCATCAAATGCTTGGCTTTGTTTTTTTAACCTAAAAAAAAAAAGACTAAGGAGGGAATTGACTTAGATAATGTCTAATTCCTTTTTTACCCTAAGACACTGTGATTTTACTAATGCACTCTAAGCCCTGTTAATATGTTAGTGGATGACAATGTGTTCATGTGTGTTCATCTATTGAGACATTTCATTTTTACCCAAGGTGAGATGCCTTTTATTATAACTTTCAACCTAAGTTTCTTTTTATGAATAACTCTTCCATTTCAGTAAAAGCTAGTTTACTTTCTCCCTTAAAGCTATCAGAAATTGAATTTTTCTGAGCAAAAATCATTTCAACAGTAATAAAAGTGGAAGAACATAAGGAAATAGAATCTCCCATCCACAGAAAATTCTTTGGGAACATGCAATTCCTTGCCCAACTGAGATTTCTGGTGGTTTGACTAGTGAGGAATTGAACAAAGGGAGGATGCTGTATACTCTAAAGTGATTGGCAGCCTGCAACCACTCAAAAGTGAAGAAATGAAATTAGAACCATAAAAACTGTCAAAATGGGGACTTTAAAAACATATTACCTGTCACGGAACATTATAATTAGTCATTTTGAAATAGAGTAATTGCGCTATTGAAAATTAGGATTATCCATTATTGTTCCCAAGCATATGTGAATAGGTTTTACAAAACAAATGCTTATCTTGATTTTCTCATTATCTTGACCCTGAAATTGATTCTGTGTCTACGTGTGCCTACTGGATCAATTACTTTTAGTTGAATCTCTTTTTCTTTTTCCCATCTTGATGATTCAGTTATGCTCAGTGGATCACAATGGTAATTTAGTAACCCTGCTTCAGTGAAAAACCCATTGAAATCACAAAATCAGCTTTTTTTTTGGTAAATAGGTCTTCTTCCATATAACTCAGGGTAAATATCTACTTTGCATCCATTCATTTAAATTTATCAAAATTCTCTCACTTTCATGACTGCAGACCATGGAGTAAGCCCTCAAATAAGCTGGTTTCTTCAAAAGAATGCAAAAATTACCTTTACTATTGAAGTACGTTTGACCTATTGTAACTTCACTTCTCTCTCTCTCTGTCTCTCTCTGTCTCTGTCTCTCTCTCTCTCTCTCTCTCACACACACACACACACACACACACACAGCTATACATGTTATATAAAGAAATACCTGAAAATCCTATAGAAATTTCAGGAAAAATCTTGGGAAATTTTAGGAAAAAAGAAAAAAATATACCAATAATCCTATCACTCAACAATTAAATTTTATTTTGCTTTTTAGCACAGTCTTTTTTCTAAGATATAAGCATAAACTCATGCACATACAGAAATAAACAAAATGGCTCCTATCTGTCTTATCTATGCATCCATGTCTATTTATTTGAATATGTGGATAGTATATATATTTTATGAATCATTATATATACAAACTCATTTTTCCCTTTTTCTAATCTTTTTAAAATTTCAAAATTGTGTATGGGCATGTCCTTATACTTATTAAGTAATCTTCCAAATCATGATTGTATAGTTTGTATGACATAATCAAAATACTGACTGTATTTTGTTTACATATTTCTTTGTCTTGAACATTAAAGATTTCATTCAGAATTTATTTCATTTTTGTTCTGCATTCACATTTCTGTTAAGTCTGCCACCCCAACCATTTATGTTCTGATTTTCACATTTATTATGTTTAATGGCTCTACTGTCTCCTTGATCGTAGGTATTTGGTCAAGACCAGAGTGAAGGGGCTTACTGCCGTCATTTCATTTTGATGATACTACAAATGAGTAAGAAAATAACTCTTTTTTTCCCCAATAAACTCTTCTTCTCTTTAGTGCCTAGTGTCTTCAACTGCATAAATGATAAGAAATAAGATTGACCCAGAAAAGGAAAATTAGCAGAATCAGCAGTTTCCTTTGACTATTACCTGGTTTATAGTAGGATCCACACCACCTAAGATGTGATTATTTCTGAGAAGAGAGGAAAGAAAAGGAACAGAATGAAGAATGGTATAAAAGGGCTTAAACAGTATTTGTAACATTCTATTTATTGAAAAGAAAACAGTATTGGAAGCACATTTGGCAAAATATTAGTATTTGTTATATTTGGGTGGTGGGAAGAAGAGTATTTGCTGTATTATATTAATCTCTACTTTTCTGTATGTTTGAAAGTTTCATAATTTTAAGACCTTAAATATATTTTTAAAAGTGCTATCAAATACCATGTAGAAGACACTGAAGTGTTTCGGGGTGGAGGAGGTAGAGACTGTTTTGGCAGGTGGAGACGGAGAAGACTTGGTGGATGGTGGGGGTTGGGGAGTGAGTCTGACTGATGGTTGCAGGAGTTTGCCCTTGAAGGGGGTCAGCATTTGGTGAGGAGAACCTAGTGGGTGGGCAGCTAGCCAGGATGCTGGCAGGGCACTGTTTGAGTGTTTAGCCTTTAGCAGAGCAGTGTTCCCTGGAAGGAGATCTTCCTGCTGCCTGCTCCAGGCCATGCGACAATTGCTCCTCTTCTTGGGATGGGAGAGGACTTATGCTCTGACAGTTTACTTGTCACAGCCAGGTGTGGATGACACAGACTTTGTTTGGTCTCTGTATGGTTATGCCAGATGGACATCTCCCACTAATGGCCTAGGATAGTAAGAAATAGAAGGGCTCTTGCTGTCAGATGCAAATGTGGTTGGAAAGTACATACGTGCCCCATATCCCCACCTTGCTTTTCCCCTCTGCCTCTCCCCCAGGAGCCTTTACATACTATTCTTAAACCTGTTACCTCTGAGATACATGTCCTCCAAAAGTAGTAAAGAATGAAATACAAAAGCTCTTTGCTGGCAAAAAGAGAAGTTGTTTATCTTATGAACAATGTTGGCAAAGGTGGTGAAACTGGCATTTTTCTCACCTCTAGTAGGATTGCATTTTGCGACAATTTTCCATTAAGTGTCATGAGCCTTAATAGCACTATACTTTCTGACCTAGCAATTTCTAATCCTAAAGAAAGAAGCAGAAATGAGAACATATTGTTCACAGCAGTGCTATTCATAATACAAACTATTATAAACTACTTAAATGTCCAACAATAGTGAAATGGTCAAATTAGTGCCATTAGCTCCATATAATGGAGCATTTGATAACCATTAAAAATAATAGAATACTTTGCAGTCATTAAAAATCATAGTATGGAAGCATATTTATTTGCAAGAAGAAAATATTCATAATACTTTTTGTTAAAGGAAAAGAGCAGGATACGATAAAGTATAGGCCTAATAGTTTTAATTTTATAAAACATGTGCACATATTTATGTGTTTAAGTGATGCAGGAAATATTTCAAAATGTTATTATTTATTCTTCATCTCTATTTGGCAAATATTCTACAATAAACACATTTTAATTTCTATGTTGAAAAATAACTTTAGAAAAATCTTGGACACTAAAATAATAACCATTTTGCAGTCTTCCATTTATTTTTACCATAGACATTTCATGTAAAAGAGAATTGGTTTAGGAAAAGACTAGAAATTTTCCATCTAACATTTGATTTGTGTGTCTCTGTGGTCTACAGACTTGTCATCTGTAAAACTGGATAATGCACACCCTAATTGTGAGTTAGTACTCACCATATGAAAGCCTACAAAATCTGTGTCTCCTTTAACTTTTTCTCCTCACTCCCCTATTGTAGTCTATTGATCTTTCTACTCTGAGCTTCACTCACAGCTTTTTTCCCTGCAGAAGTTCCTCCCATCTGATGTAAAAAGCACTGCTTCCACTTCCATGCACTTACCATGTGGTACTGCAGTTGTTATCATTGCCCCAAAGACTGTGGGCCTCTTACGATCAGTGATAATGTTGTACTCACCTTTATCCCATTACTGCCCAGCCTAGTTCCTGAAATATAGTCAATAAGCATTTGTATAGTGAAAGAATAAAGGAGAACATGGTCATAAAAACAATTTTCAAACTGCAAACCTATAAAAGTATTTCTTACATTACATATGTAAAGGTCTTAAATAATGCATACATAAGCAAAACAATGCAACATGTAGAAATAGAATCACAAACTCAAGATTATAATTACCATTTTAAATTTGACTAAATATTCTGGAGGTTTTACAATGAATGAGATAAAGACCTAGACATAAGACATGAAACCATAAAACTCTTAGATGAAAACACAGGCAAAAATCTCTTGAATGTTAGCATGAGAAGTTTTTTCTGGACTCATTTCCCCAGGCAAGGAAAACAAAATAAAAACCTGAACATGTGGGACTACATCAAACTAAAAAGCTTCTGAGCCACAGTATTCAAGACAATTTGGTACTGACACAGGAACAGACCCATAGACCAATGGAACAGACTAAAGAGCCCAGATATAAACCCAAGCATATATGGTCAATTAATATACTATAAAGGAGCCATGGATATACAATGGGGAAATGACAGTCTCTTCAACAGCTGGTATTGGCAAAACTGGGCAGCTACATGTAAGAAAATGAAACTGGATTATTGTCTAACCCCATACACAAATGTAAACTCAAAATGGATCAAAGACCTGAATATAAGTCATGACACCATAAAACTCTTAGAAAAAAACATAGGCAAAAATCTCTTGGACATAAACATGAGCAACTTCTTCATGAACATATCTCCCTTGGCAAGGGAAACAAAAGCAAAAATGAACAAGTGGGACTATATCAAACAAAAAAGCTTCTGTACAGCAAAGGACAGCATCAAAAGAACAAAAAGACATCCTACAGTGTGGGAGAATATATTCATAAATGACATATCCAATAAGGGGTTGACATCCAAATTATATAAAGAGCTCATGCACCTCAACAAACAAAAAGCAAATGAGCCAATTAAAAAATAGGCAGAGGAGCTGTACAGATGTTTCTCCAAAGAAGAAATTCAGATGGTCAACAGGCACATGAAAAGATGCTCCACATCGCCAGTCATCAGAGAAATGCAAATTAAAACCATAATGAGATATCACCTCACATTAGTTAGGATGGCCAACATTCAAAAGACAAACAACCACAAATGTTGGCGAGAATGTAGAGAAAGGGGAACCCTCCTACACTGCTGGTAGGAATGTAAATTAGTTCAACCATTGTGGAAAGCAGTATGGAGGTTCCTAAAAATACTAAAAATAGAAATACCATTTGACCCAGAAATTCCACTCCTAAGAATTTACCCTAAGAATACAGCAGCCCAGTTTGAAAAAGACAGATGCACCCCTATGTTTATCGCAGCACTGTTTACAATAGCCAAGAAATGGAAGCCACCTAATTGTCCATAGTAGATGAATGGATAAAGAAGATGTGGTACATATACACAATACAATATTATTCAGCCATAAGAAGAAAACAAATTCTACCATTTGCAACAACATGGATGGAGCTAGAGGGTATTATGCTCAGTAAAATAAGCCAGGCAGAGAAAGACAAGTATCACATGATTTCGTTCATCTGTGGAGTATAAGAACAAAGAAAAAACTGAAGGAAAAAAACAGCAGCATACTCACAGAACCCAAGAATGGACTACTGGATACCAAAGGGAAAGGGACTGGAGAGGATGGGTGGGAAGGAAGGGATAAGGGGGAAAAAGGGCATTATGATTAGCATACATAATGTGTGGGGGGACATGGGAAAAGCAGTATAACAGAGAAGACAAGGAGTGATTCTATAGCATCCCACTATGCTGATGGACAATGACGGTAATGGGGAATATGGTGGGGACTCGATAATAATAGGAGGAGTCTAGTAACCATAATGTTGCTCGTGTAATTGTACATTAATTATACAAAACAAAACAAAACAAAACAAAAAACTAAAAAGTTTCTGAACAGCAAAGGACACCATCAACAGACAACAGGAGAACCCACAATATGGGAGAACATGTTTGTGAGCAATTTATTCAATAAAGGTTTAACAACCAAAATATATAAAGAGCTCATACACCTCACCACCAAAAAAACAAAAAATGAATTAAAAAATGGGTAGAGGACCTGAACAGACATTTTTCCAAAGAAGAAATACAGACGGCCAATGAGCATATGAAAAGATGCTCCGCATCACTGATCATCAGGGAAATGCAAATCAAAACCGCAATGAGATATCACCCTGCACCAGTCAGAATGGCCACTCTACAAAAGACAAGAAAAAACAAGTATTTGGGGAGGATGTGGAGAAACAGGAAACCTCCTACACCGTTGGTGGGATCGTAAATTGGTGCAGCCACTATGGAAGGCAGTATGGAGGTTACTCAAGAAACCTAAAAGAGAAATACCGTATAACCTAGTAATTCCACTTCTAGGATTTACCTAAAGAAAACAAAATCTCTGATTTGAAAAGATATATGCAACCTATATTTATTGCTACATTATTTATAATAGCCAAGATATGGAAGCAACCAAAGTGTCAATTAATAGATGAATGGGTAAAGAAGATGTGCATATACATAATGGAATATTATTCAACAATGAGAAAAAAAGAGATCCTGCCATTTGCAACAATATGAATGGACCTAGAGGGTATTAGGTTAAGTGAAATAAGCCAGGTGGAGAAAGACAAATAGCATGTGATTTCATTTACTTGTGGAATCTAAAAACAAAATGAAATAAAATGAACAAAATATCAGTAGACTCATAGACAGTGAGAAGTGACTGGAGGTTACCATGGGGGAGGGGCTTGGGAAGGTGGGTGGGGAGGATGAGGGGGATAAAGGGGCACAAAACTTGAAATCATAATATAGGTTGATTACAGGAATGGTAAGACAGCATGGAGAAAATAGC